AATTTTTTTTAAATGTTTATCTATTTTTTAGAGAGAAAGAGACAGAGGAGGAGCAGGGGAGGGGCAGAGAGAGGGAGATACAGAATCTGAAGCAGGCTCCAGGCTGAGCTGTCCACAAAGAGCACGGCACAGGGCTTGAACTCACGAACTGTGAGATCATGACCTGAGCCGAAGTCAAATGCTTAACTGACTGAGCCACCCAGGCGCCCGTAGAAGCCCAATTTTATCTCTTTTTCCACTCAAAAGTTCAGTTGAGGAAATGGTTTCTCTGGCTAAAAAGAATTTAAGAATTACCTATGTAGCCAAGACCATTCTTTTCATAAAGGAGTAAAACGAATGCCAGAGAAATTAGGGAATTCTTGATTTTAGTGTTGGACCCTGTGTCACATCTTCCTCCCCATCCAGCATGGTGCCATATTGTCTCTTACTCTTAGGCAGCAAATCAGGTGAGAATTCCTATGTTTTTGGAATTGCCCCCCCCCCCTTTTTTGCTTTTGTTTTAGAATAACCATAAGGGACAAACAACGAAGCCAAATTAGCATGAGAAGAGTCATAAATGATATATTGAAAGTAAAAGCATAGTCTGCAATTGTACTCTTTTGTCTATATTGTTTCCAGTCCCACTGGAGAATTCTATTATCAACCAGCACCTGAAAGGGGTCATGAGGGAGGGTAGGAAAGGCCTCGTTCCATTTTCCTATGTTATCAAATGTATTGCTATTAAGATTGAGAGAAGTAAAGATTTCAGTAGGATACTTGGTGAAAACTTGCTGACATTAATGACTCAAATTCTCAGAGAGACTGCAAGGAAAATGGTGTCATCACTGTCATTCAAGACATTTAAGATGAAATTTCAAAAGGAGGCTGTCAGGCATAATGACTGCCAGGTTCTATTATATCATTCTCAGAGGGTGGATCACATACACTACTATGCAGCCTGTGGGCGGTTGATATTGAAGTTTGAAAGGAAGCTGCAGAGAGGAGGTGGGGTGGGTGTGGGACCCAAGAGGGGGTGCTTCACAACCAGGAGACATCACCGTTGACCTTCTCATGGTGACTTGGGGTAAATCTGCGATCTGGGGCCTAGGCTTTTGTCTTAGATACCCTGAAATCTGACCCATCAGGACATTTTGACAAGATCATGATCTTAGTGCTGAACAAAATTCAGGAAATTTGAGCTGTAAATCATTGTACCAATTTATTAATTTATGGGAAGAAAATTTCTCTCTAGTGTCTGAAAGTTCGTGTTTGCATGCACCCCAGCCACCCAGGCGCCCCTAGATACCTACGGACCCTAGTCAGCAATCAGGAGGCAGGTGTGTGAGAAGAGCCCTCGTTCTCAACCTTGGCTGCCCACCGCAACTTCCCAAGGGCCTTTGACACTGAGGCCATCCCCTGAAACAACTAAATCTGAATCTCAAGGATTAGAACCCAGAAATTAGTATTTAAGAAACTTTTTTTTCAAATGTTTATTCATTTTTGAGAGAGACAGCGTGAATGGGGGGGTGGGGGACAGAGAGAGAGGGAGACACAGAATCTGAAACAGGCTGCAGGCTCTGAGCTGTCAGCACAGAGCTCAATGCAGGACTCAAACTCACGGATTGTGAGAGCATGACCTAAGCTGAAGTTGGATGCTAAACCGACTGAGCCACCTGGGTGCCCCCAGACATTAATATTTAAAAAAATCTCCTCACATGATTCCAAAGAGCAGCCACAGCTGAGAATCACTGGGTCAGAGCAAAGGACGTTGTCCATCCAGGCTGCCATGAGCCTGGGGCCTCATCCTTTCCACACAGGGGTCTATGCTTTTGCATACCATAGACAGTGGGTTGGTTGGTTGTTTAAACTCGGAACAGATGTAAGTTTGCCAACTTAAAAAATTTTAATATCTATTTATTTTTGAAAGACAGAGAGTGTGCAAGCAGGGGATGGGCTGAGAGAGAGGGAGACAGAGGATCTGAAGCCAGCTCTGCACTGACAGCAGAGAGCCCAATGTAGGGCTGGAACCCACGAACCATGAGATCATGACCTGAGCCAAAGTCGGACACTTAACCGACTGAGCCACCGAGATGCCCTGCCAATTTTTTAAAATTGCCAAGTAAGGATGTATTTAACTATCATTATTCATTAAAGAAAGGAAATTTTAACAAAACTTAAGGACACAATTTTACAACAAAAAACAATGTTGTATTTCTTTTTCTTCTAAGGATCAGGGAAAACTTCATTGTAGGCTAATGCACACTTAAGAACTGGTGCGATCTAACTGCTCTCTACATCCAGAGTCAGGGCTTGCTTCTTGGATTGCTTACCATATGTTGGCTGGGTGTGGTTCACATTAAACCACTGTCTCATGCTAACTACTCCTCTCTTACCATAGCCTTTCCATATACATATTCATAGTATTAAGTTGTAGGTAGTTTCTGCTCCCAGGCTTGGTAATGTTCTGTCTCTTCCTATTACAGAATATGTTGATTTAATTAGCACAGCTCTTCTTAGACATCTTAAACTAAGGTTTCTAGAATGGGTGTAGCACGTGTTGGGGGCACTGCTGCTCCGTTGTTTCACTACTGGACAATGATGACAATTATTCTAAATCTAGGGAAGAATTCATTGGGAGGGCAAATAACCTGCAGTGAGTTGTTTATTGTGGGTGTCAAGTTACATGAAATGAAAAAACTTACTTAGACTATAAACTTAACTTTGAATGTCTCTTTGGAATCTACTGTGTGCCCTATTCTTCTGTGGTCATGGTTTATGTTGCCCCCTTCCTCCTCTGAAAGGCCACTGGCATTTTGGGATCAGGTCTATATTGAGTCGCCTGTCTTTCACAAGACAGCCTCTGGGGGCGCCTGGGTGGCTCAGCTTGTTAAGCATCTGACTTCAGCTCTGGTCATGATCTCAAAGCTTCTGAGTTGGAGCCCTGAGTCGGGGTCTGTGCTGACAGCTCAGAGGCTGGAACCCGCTTCAGATTCTGTGTGTGTGTCTCTCTACCCCTCCCCTGCTCGTGCTCTGTCTCTCTCTCTCTCAAATATAAATTAACATTTAAAAAATTAAAACAACAACAACAACACAATAGCCTCTGGAAGCTACTAAGAGAGGGTAGCTGTGCCGGGAAGTCCAAGATTGTACATCAAGTACAAGTACTGCATAACCTAGAGACTCATTTATGCTGACAATGGCATAAAATACATCTTCCTTTATTAATCTCTTTCAAGCTGACATGCTTAAAGGTGGATCAAGAGAATCAAAACTAGCATCAATGTGTGCTTTTGACCAACTGGGAAAATTCTGTTTTCAGATACCTGTGTTCTCCAAGCACCGAAGAGGTACAATTAGTGATGAGCTGCTCTGGCTTTATCGTTCCCAGCCCAACCCAACCCAAGAGGAAGAGCTTCAAGGCCAAGGGCTTTGCTCAGGATAGCACACAAACCTCAAAATGAAAAGACCTGGATTTGAATCCCAGCTCCACTACTCTCTTGGACAAGTTGCTAGGTCTCTTTGAGCCTCAGTTTCCTTATCTATAAAATGGAGATATCATTTTCATCATCACTTCACATGGTGATTGTGAAGACTAAATAAGATAATTCAGGTAAAATACTGAGCAATATACCATATACCCTAAGTTCTCACGAGAAGTTAACTTTGTGGGTCAGAGCCTAGCACAATAATGTGGCATACAATAGATGTTCAATAAACACACACACACATGCGCACACACATACACATACACACACACAGACACACACGTTCTATATCTGCAGAAGGAAAAACTCAGTAGAAATGCTGAGGTAAAAAGTTATTACTGAATTCTCAACTTTAGTTTTCAGATCTGAACAATGTAACCTGACTTATTTTGCTATATAATCTTGCTCATGACTTTGTCTCTCGTCTCCCTAACTGATGACTTCTAGGACCCTTGCTTTTCTGTGGTAAATTCCTTTTTTTTTTTTTTAAAGTTTAAGAGGGGAGGAGGGGTAGAGAGAGAGAGGGAGGAAGGGAGAGAGAGAATCCCAAGCAGACTCCGTGCTGTCAGTACTGATCCCAATGCAGGGCTTGATCTCACAAACCATGAGAACTTGACCTGAGCCAAAATCAAGAGCTGGACGCTTAATGGACTGAGCTACCCGGGTACCCTGTGGTGAATTCTTAGAGCAGGCTATCTGAGCACAATCTCTTCTTTCCATGACAATGCTCTTCTCTTCCTTATAGATTCTGATACTTCTCAGACCCAGAACCTCATTTCCTTGCTAGTGTTCTGAAGCAACCAAGCATTTTGAAAGAAAGCTTTTAGAAATCTAGATATTTGCACCTGTGTGCCAGGAAAAATTGGGATGTTTTCTATGTAAATGATGGATCGGGAAGAAAAGGAGTTTGGGGAACAAGCCCTGATGGTTAGTCTGATACAGAAAGCAACTCAGTTCAATATTTTATCCTGCTGCATTAACATTTTTCAAAATCAATTAATTATTAATAAATACATATACGTTCTTTTGTCTAAACTCTTCAACTGCCCACCAAAAACAAAAACAGAAACACATCAAAAAATGAACTTCTCAGGTTGCTGAAATTTTGCCATAGGAGCCAAGCTTGTTTCTGAAAGTTTCAACTCATCCAATCAGACAAAAGGCTGAGGAAAGGGGAGGCATTTATCAAGTTACACGGAGGACTCCATCTGTTATCTTAGACCTTTGTTACCAAGTGACACAGGAGGAGATACTCGAAGGCAGCATGAAAGAGTTTTCTTTTACAGATTCATAGTCCAAAGATTTCAAATTAGAGAAAAACAGCAGCAGGAAAGAGAAAAGTCAAGTAAGTGTGATCAAGAAGTCTCCATCCCGCCATCCTACTGACGAGAACCGCCGTGGAGGGTGAAAGTGCCCATTTGGCCAGGATCTGTCCGTTCAGCTTCTATAATAAATGCAGCCAAAGGGGCAGTCACTTCTCATCAGTCACAAAGGTCTCCTCTTTAGACCTCACCCTCACAAAAGCCATTTCTCATCATGCCAAGCCAACAAAAGAAAGTCATCTTTTGCACGGCTGGGGTGTTAAGCTTCGTGTGCGCCCTTGGACTTGTGACAGCCCTGGGGACACCGCTGTGGATCAAAGCCACCTTCCTCTGCAAAACGGGGGCTCTGCTCGTCAATGCCTCTGGGCAAGAGCTGAACAAATTCATGGGAGAAATGCAGTACGGGCTTTTCCATGGAGAGGGCGTGAGGCAGTGCGGGCTGGGAGCGAGGCCCTTTCGGTTCTCAAGTAAGTGACAATTGCATTTGAATTATTTAATACTTTAGGTGTACTCTCCCAACTGTTACAAGGAATTATCTTTAAGAAGGAATTATTTTTAAGAGCTTTGCCCTATTGGAGGCCTTTTGAAACAGACGTGAGCCATTCGAAATACCCAGGAATCGTCCGAGCAATGTTTTCTTCCTAGTTTTTATTATTTTGTTTTTATTAATTATTTCATTCTGTTTTTATTATGACACTATACAGTTAATGAGTTGGTATGGAATTAAGCTTTTTGAGAAGGCAAGCAATTAAATTCTTCTTAAACATTAATATTTATGCTAGAAATTTTGCTATCTTTTAAAAGGGGGGGGTGACTTGGAGAAATAGAAAGCTGTAAGAGATGATCTTCATTTTGTTCTTAAAACAAAACAAAAAGATCAGTGTCATAGGCTCCTTAACCAACTCTAACTTCTTTTCTACCTTGCTAATGACTCTGTAACCCATCTATCCCTGTTTTATCCCTGCTAGGACCTTTCCTGCTGCTAATGTTTTTTTTTTTTTTTTTTTTTCTTTTTTCACCTATTTGAATTACTTGGCTATAGAAATTTAAAACGGATCTGCTATATTAACTGGGAAGGAAATAGATGCCTATTTAGTATAGAAGATTTGAAACTGATTGACCTTCAAATCATGTAGAGAATAGGAGACAGATTTTCCTGTTTGATTTTTGTGAAATGGAAGTGTTACCCATAGTATTTATAACCTGTTTATTTTAAGAAGAGAATTTTTTAAAAAAATTACCATGTGAATAGGCAACTCATTAAATGAAAATTAATAAGAAGGCATTTGTTATATCTCTCACAACACACATTCAGAAATTATTATTATTTCAAAAGGGCTGGTTTGGAACAATCTTATGAAGAAACAGCCAGTAAATTACTGCATAAATCACTCTTCAGGAAAGGAGGTTACCAACTGAGGCATTTAAAATGAATTATTATTTTGCCTGGGTATTTTTTTTTTTCTCTAGCATAGGTAGAAAGCTAAATTAATTGAATTTATTATTAACATATGCAGTGTCTAATTAAATTTCAGTGCTGGCCTATTTATATTTCTGCAACATTCCTTCTATCTTCTTAGCAGTCACTGGACACCAACTTTCACTCACATAGGTTATTAGGTGATATGAATTGTCACAGGGCTCCCAAAAATCCCTAAGAATTAGTCTTTAGCTTTTCAAAAAATTATCATCCACTAGATTTGATGAAGTGAATACCAACTCTTTCCTCTGAATGGCTTCAGTTCATTAAGGTAATGGGGCTGTTAAAGTTGCTTAGCTTTCCTTAGGGGGAAAAAGAACAAAGTAGAAGATCACATGATTTGCAACTGTATTAAAAAATAAAAGAGGAAAAAAGATGAGTGAAATTATTTAACTATCAGTCATTGACAGCTAAAAAGCGCAAGGAAAGCTTCTCACAAATGAATTTAGACAAAAGCAGGGAACATACAGTGAATTTTCTGGAGCCTTTGCATTTTGTACCATGAAACAGAGATCAACTCTACTTATACCATGGGACAGGTTTCAAAACGATAGGTTTTTAGGTTTTATGAACACTTACGAGACATTAAGCATGAAGCGTGCTTTGTCTTACTTAATCCTCACACAGACACATTCCTCAGTGGTTCAATGAATCGTTTTTATGGCCATGTCCTCTGCTGGCTGTGTCTGTGAGGCCATTGCGCTGATCAGGTGGCCTTCCCTTTGCTTTTGTGAGGACTCAGAGTCGGTGAGGTTGAAACAAAACCTTCACCTATCACAAAATTTCATTTGTCCCTATGATACTTTGAACATTTTCCTCCAGCCTGGTTAAGAAATCTTACATTTGTTTGTTCTGTGGTGACAGCCTCTCTGTATAACCTCTCTATGCCCTACACATGTTAAAGCCTCATTACTTTTTTTTTTTTTTAAGTTTTTTTAAATGTATTTACTTTGAGAGAGAAAAAGAGAGAGAGAGCTAGGGAGGGGTAGAGAAAGAGAGAGATTGAGAATCCCAAGCAGGCTCCACACTGCCAGCATGGAGCCCGAGGTGGGGCTTAAACACACAAACCATGAGATCATAACCTAGAGTTGGACGCTTAACCAACTGAGCCACCCAGGTGCCCCAAAACCAAAACCTCATTAATTTCACTGAGACCCTGCAAAGTATACTTAATAGTATCACTTTTTCCTCCTAGGCATAGAAGTATCTCTTTCAATGGAACAGGAGACAAAGTTGGGAAAACTGAATGTTGGATTCCCTAAAAAGCATAATGCTCATTATTTTTTTAAATGTTTATTTATTTTGAGAGAGAGAGGGCAATCACGGGGGAGGGGCACAGAAAGAGGGAGAGAGCGGGAGAGAGAGAGAGAGAGAAAGAATCCCAAACAGACTTGACACTCAACATTGAGTCCCATGCAGGGCTCAGTCTCATGAACCATGAGATTATGACCTGAGCTGATATTAAGAGCCCATCGATAAACCGACTGAGCCACTCAGGTGCCACACATAATGCTTATTTAAACAAACAGCCTTCTCAGTGATAAAAACTTCCTCACTGATACGCCTTTAGAACATACTGCACTAAATTGACACTTCTTCTGCAGTAAAGCTTCACGGTCCCTATCTTCCCGATCAAAATGCCATCACCCTATCAGTGACGTTCTAAAAACGCATCCTTGAAGGAAGAGAGCCCTCAGATATTCCTCCTGAGAGAAAAGTGTAGTCCTGTTACCTGTTAATATAAAAGAATGGGAGGCCTAATCCTGTCTCCTCAATAATAGCATCCTTCGAGCAAAATGTAGAGCCCCCAAAGAGCTCAGGATAGATGATTCTTTCCTGTTTCTTCCAGAGCCCAACCTATGATTAGGGCACAAATCATTTCCCAGAACTTTCCCCTTTCTCATATGCCTCTTAGAAAAGTTATTAAGCAAACATTTTGATTTAAGGAACTTTCCAGTGTAGGAGGAATGGAAAAGGCAACTCCTCAAAGTATCAGTCGCTTTGTGACAGGGTTCTTCGTGTTGTGGTGGTAGCATCCATTAATGCAAACTTACATTTCCGTTCTGTGAGATTGCTAAATGCTACCTCACTTACCAAACTTTTCATGTATATCAGCACTGGTCAACAGAAATACAATGCAAACCATAAATGCAGGCCACATATGTAATTTTAAATGTTCTAGGAGCCATACTAGAAAAAAGGAGTAAAAGAAACAAGTGAAATGAATTTTAAGGACATTTTTCTTTAACTCAAGAAATGCAGAATACAGTGATTTTAACATGTAGTCAATGTAAGAGATATTTTACTTTACTTGTGATAAATCTTTAAAATTCAGTGTATATTTTAAACTCACAGCACACTTCAATCCAAACTAGCCACACTTCAAATGCTCACTAGCCATTTCAATGTGGCTAATAGCCATCACAACCAGACAGTGCAAATTTAGCTAGAGATTTACTCTGAGTAAATCGGGCATTGAGAGCGTCCATGTTCTAAATGAATTTTTGCTTGGTTCTGCAGTACAAGTTTATGTGTTATTTTTATGGGCCATGCATGTGTTGCTTTTAAAATTCAGATATATAGTGACACATGAGGATAAGGAATGGACCAGAAAAACAGTTAGGCAATGTTGTCATGTTTGTTCCTATTAAATGTTCCCTATTGACCACTCTCTCTCTTTTAATTATAACTAGAATCTTCCCCGCAAGCACGCACAGTTATGCTGGGAAAACTTCTGCCTCGTTTACTCTGGCTGATTCTCATCCACTTATGGGTCAACGCTTCATTTTCTTGAGGTCACTAGCATTCATACCTAGCACACAAATTCATTCATTATAATGAAGGACTGTTTTCCTTTCAAGTAAACACCACTGGTGGGCTTAATTTTTCATGATATGTCACCTGTAAAATTTTAATGATGATGTTTAAATGCTTACTGTAGCCATCAAGACAAAAACTGCCAGTTTTGAGCTTAGGATGTGTGGGTAGGTTCTGTTTTGGTGGTTTGAAACACTGTAGAACATCATCAAACTATGATACCCAAGAATCATATGGTATCAATCATTCCTAGATATGCTGATCTATTTATTGCCAAGATAGTTCAATGAGCTGGTAAAAGCATATGGAATTTTTCTTTTGAAATGTGAAAAATAAGATCTCACCAATCATGTATCACAGACTGCAACTTTAGTCATACTTTTAAAAGCATTTTAATTGAGGCCTTATGATTGAAAATGTGTTAAAAAGCTTAACAGACATTTAGCTTACTTCATATTTCATTTTTTAAATTATTTGTTTGAGACAGAGAGAAAGAGACAGAGACAGAGACTGCCCACACAAGTAGGGGAGGGGCAGAGAGAATTAGAGACAGAATCCCAAGCGCCCTCTGCACCATCAGTGCAGAGTTCAATGTGGGGCTTGAACTCATGAACTGTGAGATCATGACCTGAGCCGAGATCAAGAGCCAGATGCTTAATCAACTGCGCCACCCAGATGCCCCAAAAATCTCATGCTTTTTTTTTTTTGTGGGTTTCACACCCAGTACAGAGCCCAATGTGGCACTTGAACTTAGGACCCTGAGATCATAACTTGAGCTGAGATCAAGAGCCAGACACTTAACCGAGTGAGCCACCCAGGCGCCCCCCTACTTCATATTTTTAGAAAGCAGAGTTTCTTTACCAAGCGAGGTACATCACCGAGGTCATACATCCCTCAGGTTACAGAGGGGATGTTGAAACTACTTGTGTCGGCACGCAGGTGGCTTCTCAAACCTCTCTTGGGGTAGAATGGTTGGGACTCAGAGTCTCTGCCACCGTTACTGAGAGTTGGCACTGTGCCTTCATGGTCTCCTGCGGATGTGACACTCCCACCTGCCCCAGGTGCTCCACTGGTCACCATCCGGCACATACCACCTCTCTCCCATGGCAGAGCTGCAAAGGTCTTTGATGTACTTCCTTCTGGTAACACTGTCTATCCCTATCCGTCCGC